GAGATTGAGAGAAGAAAATACAAAATATTGATCTTACCAGAGGAATGCCTTTTGCTGCTCTTTCTTGTAAATATTTGGAGGGTTTGAAGAAATCACCATATTGTTCTGACCATTTCTTGAGACTTGCATATACATGTTTAGGCCCAACCAAGTCTGCCCAAAAGAGGAGACCGCCACTGCAAAAGAAATCGGGGCAACAACCGTTAGCATAATAAATATAGTCTATCTTCGTTAACCGCGTAACTCGATTGATTATATATAACTAACTGGTAAGGACTCGGGATATTTGAAAATACCCACCAAAATTATAGTGTCATGCATTATGTAGGTACAGCTTAGGCCCTGTTTGATAACCATTTTATTTTTAGTTTTCTGTTTCTACAAATTAAGCTTGCTCCTTCCAACCGTGTATTCCTTTGTCCTGTAATCAACTTTTTTAAAAACATTTTCAAAATCTAAGCCAAATTTTGAAAAAAAAAATTTAAAAAGCAAGATTTCAGAAACTTAGTCTTTGTTTTTAAAATTTGTCTAAGAATTCACAAATACATTTTTATGAAGAAATGTGAAAAATATACTAAAGAAATAGTGAGAAACAAGCCTAATTTTTAAAAACATAAAACTAAAAATGAAATGGTTATCAAACGGATCTTAAAACTATTGTTTTCTCCCGAAAGTAGCAAAATGGGGGTGGGCATTTCCAGGAAACTATAATTAGTGGCAATAGGAGTTTTTTCCTGTGAAGGTCGTGATATGTGCACAATTCAAGTTGCTCGACTTAAAAAGTGTGTGTATGTACTAAACTCTACTTTCTTCAAGAGAGTGATGAATATGGAAAACCAGTATATTCTCATATTACCGGTAGGAAGGAAAGCTCATTCCAAGAACAGCCGCAACATTGAGGTCTGACGGCCTAATGACGACTCCTTCATCCACCACACGACATCCCTCATTTACCACAGGAAAGAGTACCATTTCCAAAATTTGCTGATCAGTAATCGCTATAGGCTGCCGGAAGCAAACAAGAAGATTTGGTAAACCGCATTGAAAGACAGAAGTGATTAGTCAGATACCATTTCATACAAATAGTTTCTGTTATCGTGTTTACAAGTTACCTTTCCACTCGGAATAAGGTTGACAATGCGCCTAGACTCCTCAACAATCGGTAAAATCGAAGGGTCGGGCTTTGGTCTGCTTCCTTTCTCATAAGTGTAGAAACCACGACCGTTGTTTTTACCTGCACGACAAGCCTTTCACATTTTTAAACATGAATCATTTTAGAGAATCGCACACACACAAGCATACAAGCAAGGTGTTATTCTCAAGAATTTCAGTAAAATGCTTCTGTTACCATCGCGTCCATTTTTCCTAAGTAAGTCAATCAATGGTGAGAGGAAAACTCGATCAGGAAAGGAACTGGAGAATTCTTTCCGTACTGCAGTTGCTACTCCATATCCACTTAAATCCTGAAGCCTGTATGCAGAAGAAGCAATCAAGATGGCGCTGATAGAAGATTTAGCATTAAACAAAGCTTCGGGTAGTAGAGGACTCATGGTCTAATGTGATGTATTACATTATTATAGCTTTTGCATATAAAATATGTGCATCAAGGACTGCCTTAATAATTCTTGATGAAACATGTTTTTTTAGCAAAATTTGCTAACAAGAGATATAACCATCATATCATCAGAATAGAATTGGTAACTTAGTGAATAGTTTCGAGACACAAAATTGACTCATTCTCCAGTATTCGGGCAATAAACTGGCCCCAAAATTTCCCTTCTAAATGTCTAACAAAATTGTATTATCTAATGACAAAACTTGATAAAATAGATTCATTTTACTTGAGAGAGAAAGTAAAGAAGTAGAGAACTACCATTTGATTGTGAAATTAAGATACCACTAAATACTTGCGAAAAAAGAAAGAAAGATACTAGTAAATATGGAGTGAAACCAGATATGGAAAAAGATTTCTCATGTAAAAGATATACGAGCAACATTTAGTCGTTGGTTTCTATTGCAGTTGAAGAAGCACTAGCCAAGCAGGCATAACTCGTTAATAATTAGAGATAACAAGAAAATAAATTCTAGTACTAAGGAATTGACTTACTGGAAAGGGCCCAAGGGGAGGCCAAAACTGGTGATCACCCGGTCAATTCTGAATGGGTCTACACCTAAGTGGACCAAAAGATGTGCAGCCTGAGCATATGGAAAAAATGCACGATTGACTGCAAATCCAGTGCAGTTGCCCACAACAACAGGAACCTTCTTTATGAGTTTTCCAACGGTCATAAGATCAAGAATCACTTGTGGAGAAGTCATTTCCGTCCGTACAATCTCTAGAAGTGGCATTATGTGAGCAGGGCTGTCCATTGTAGAGAGGTGCGAAGAAAAAGTGCTCATAGTTAGTCATTGAATCAAGAGGAAGAAATTATTTAAAAGAGTCTTCAAACTACAAAAGTTTAAGTTAAAGAAATCACACAAACCCATGCCTTGGAAATCTTAATAATGCAGGTATAGAGTCAGAAAAAAGATAACAATTTTTTGAGGTCAAATAAGGTCTCCACTGTTCGTTCTTCAACGAGTGACAGTTATTAAAATGAATCCAATGTTACTCTGTATATCATGCTTATGCTTATCCTCCAAAATATAATATGCATCTCAACTTCTAGAGTGCACTCTGCCAAAAACTCTATTTCTCTATGCGAAATATTTACAGGCTGCTGGTCATGTTAGTTATGCTTCTGCACGACTCCAGGAACAGATAGAAATTGTAAAAGACAACTATCACAATAAAAGCTCCACCATAAACTCAAACGTTGCTTTAGACCCTACAGATTTTATTTTAAGAAGAAAAGAACTATTAGTGCCCCTTCCCCTGTAGATTGAGTACCAAAATGGCTTTACCGTACACATTTCCATCCAAGTTCATGTGCAAAACCTAATCAATAATGATGCTTATTACCTATGGTCATATGTACTCAAAGAAACTGCTATATCCCCTGCACATATTATCCTAGATTCTAGAACATTAGTTAACTAGTGCAAATTATACAGCATCGAGAGGGAAAAAAGAAAAAGAAAAAATTCCCCTCTACTCTATCTTTTTTCTGAGCAGAAACTGGAAAGCAACATGCTTCACATAGTCGTTGATGGAACTTTAGAGATTCAATTCTGGTGGATTTGGACTTGCACAGGGTTTGACAAGAAAGAACATGCACTGAAAAAAAAAAATGGAATATAACCTGAAAAAATGTGCTCCAATGATTCGATCCAGGGAGCTGGTTTTCTCTCCAACTAGATTGAGGTCGATAGTAGAGGTATTTGTGGCTAATATGCAGTGGGGAGGGCATACTTTTTCGAGTTCACTAAATATTTTTTGTTTAAGGGGGACATTCTCAATGACAGCCTGCAAAAATGAGTTTCATCTTTGTCATCAGTACTATATTAAAATTAAAAAGGAAAAATATGAATTTTATTTTGGAAGTGAGAAAAATATTGATGTCAGAACAATTGTCATAAAACAATAGTAATCTGATGCCACCACAACAAAATACATGTCATTGTAATTTTCGTAACATTGATGTGAAAAAAGAAAATTTGTATCGTCACTCCTGAAATCTTGAACCTATTTCTCCTTACTGATCGACTGTAGCAGAGATTAAGAATTCACCTCAATCACCATATCCACATCTTTGAAGTCTGAATAATCCAATGCACCTTTAAGAATCAAAAGAGCTTTGTCTGCCTTATCTTGTGACAGCTTGCCTTTCGCTACTAAGCCTCGAATATTTCCTGTCAAATAAATAGTTGAACTAATTCAAAGGACAATCAAGTTAAATGAAGCATAATAGTAATGCTTCTATTAAAACGTAAAATAAAAATGAGAACAGCTGAAATACATTGTGATTTTGGTTTAAAGTTTTACATAAAATAATTGTCAGCTTACAAGATGGACAATGTGAAACCTCAATCCCAACTTTTGTTTGAATGTCTAGGACTTGCACATTTCAAAACCTTAGTTGCATTATCTATAACTGTCGGTAGCACTACTTTTGCAAGGAACTTTCCTACTGGCATTAGATTGTCAATAAATAGATCTTCTACTGACTGATATTATAAACCACAAATATGTATACATACCTACTTACAAACATACATATATAGTCCTTTAGATAAGAATCATGATTTCGTAAAATAAGGTGCTTACGAGTTAAGAAGGAAAAGACGTCTGACTTAAATGCAAAATAACCAGTTACATACAATGAGAATCCACAGCTTGCAAAGTTAAAACAATGGAATATCTTTGAGAAGTTTGGTCACTGAAGCGGAAGCCAAACTCAAAGCTCAAATGATACTCAAGACCGTAATTATACTTAAAAAGCCAAAACACATTACATAATAATTGGCAAGCATTCCTTTTATAATGTTAGTAAACATGAACTAATATAGTGAAGAAAGTCAATGTATCAAACTGTTATATACCCAACTACTTTGCAATATATAATCAATACCATTAAATAATGTATACAAAAGTTGGACCTAATTCAACTCAATATTTTGTTATGACAAAGAAAGCATTTATAAATGAGATTATAACAACTGAGAGGGAAAGTACTACAGTGATAGTATCTTCTACAAAAACAAAATAATATGCAACAATGCTAATCTCCCAAAAAGTTAAAAAACAATACTATTAACATAAAAAATCCCACCTTCAATCATTTTTATTCCCTTTTGAAGATATTCAGCATTGATTTCTTTGAGAACAACGTCAATGTTGCTTAAAATAAGAGCTGTTGCTATGCCAGAACCCATTAAACCACCCCCGATAACAGCAACTTTCTTCACTTGTCTTGGTTTAAGGCCACGATCTGTTACATTTGGTACCTGAGGAAGTTCAGAGGTACAGTAATCGGAGACACAAAGTCAGCACTGAATCATCTGAAAACCATAATAAAACTAGAGATAGACATGCTATAATGTAGGTAGGTGGTACATATCATGGGAAAGAAATAGTGATTTCCTTTCCTTGGACAGGTCAGGAGAGAGAGGATGTTGAATAATTCCTGGCATAAATGATACCTTTGATATTGCACGCTGGGCAAAAAAGACGTGAACAAGACCCTTTGAAGTGTCCGTTACTACAAGTTCCTTGAATACTTTTGCCTCCTGCAACAATCATTGTTTAAGTTATTGACCTAACCACCAGCAAGTAACAAGCCAGATGTCTCAACTAAAAAATAGGTGCCATGAAAGCAAGTTGATACTTGCACACAGGAATATACACCTTAAGACAACATATGCAGAATCTAATACAAAAGTACCTTTAGAACTCCACTATATCCTCCATTAATTATTCCTTCTTCAATAACATCAATACAAGCAAGGTGCTGTGGCATGTTAGGAGCTATCCTTTTTGCTTGCTGTCTGGCAGATTTTAATACCACCCGAGCTTCAGCCAGGGACCCAATTTTGTCTGTCCTGTGAAGGGAACGGATCCATGGTCTGCGTCTCTCAGCAATTTCTAAAGCCCACTTTCGAGATACTTTCAGCAACTCATTTGGACTAACAATGGCATCAATAAGACCTAGCTTCTTTCCTTCTTCAGATGTGATTGATTTAGATAACTGCATAAAATGCAAAATTAAAGAGATCAATCCCACTGCATGCTGTAACAAGCAGTTGGAAAACAAGTTTAAGCCCAAGTCCTAACAAAGTATAGGGGCCAAAATTGATTTTTCAGATAGAAAAAATAAAAGGTATGGGTATCTTCAATTTAATAGACACATTAAGATAATCAAGACACCAATCATATCATTATATATTTTCTTATTTCCCTTGAAAAGCAGATGTTCAACTTTCCTTCTAATCTTCATCCAAGACTAGATGGCAAACTTGCGTCTGCTAAGAATATAATTTTTTAATGGAAAAATATTATTAGAACCAATCCTAATAAACAGTAGCAATAATCCAAATTCCTCAGCTTGTCTATCTCAACCCACTAAAGAATACCGTGTCATGAAAACCAGGATAAAAAATAAAGTATTTAGCATACCAGCATCATTTCAACAGCTTTTGACAGACCTACAAGTCTGGGAAGTCGTTGAGTGCCTGATAAATCAACCAGTACTCCAGAAACTCAGTCACTATTTAAAAGAAAAACATGGAGTGCTACATTCCCCATAGTTGAGATTTAAGAATGTGTTCAAAAGAAACCTTACCTCCAAACCCTGGAATTACTCCAAGTGTCAACTCAGGTAAACCAAGTTGAGCTTTGGGTGCAGCAATACGTGCATGGCTTCCCTGCATGAAGATTAACGATGTATTGGGAAAAGTCCAAAAAATGAGGGGGGAAATAAAAAGAATGGGACAACGCTGAACTTAAAGCACGAACCAAAGCCAATTCTAACCCTCCCCCCAAAGCAAGTCCTTGGATGGCAGCAACAATTGGCTTCTTGCCATCTGCACTTATGGCAAAATAACACTAAAATAGTATCATTTTTCATCGATAAACAAGTCCAGTTGAAAAATGAAATTAGTTAGACAAGTAGGATAATACTATAAAAATGACATGGGAAGAACCTTCCATTGTGTTGACTACAAGCTCAACAGAGACATCGGGCATGGCAGATAAGTCCCCTGGAATTTTAAACCATTTGAAAAAGTGAGTTGTCAAACAAAATTCTCCAGCTTTAAATGTTCAGCTTGAATTAACATAAACGCACCAGTCTTGTGAATCTTTTCAAAAACGTTGATGTCAAATCCACCGGAGAACCTTCCTCCTTTGCCTTCAGTAAATTAAATTCACGTTTCAAATAAGAATGGAACACAAAAAACCAGGATGTTACTCAAAATTCAGCAATATTTGAATGCAGAACGTATATATAGAAAATACTAGTTGGAAATTTTTCTACAAGAAGTAGTCATAACATTATCATGGAAATTTTTCTTGGATATTTTTTTTATATATTTTTAATTTGACGATGGGGCCATTGCAATATCAAAAATTTATAACTAAATTATCAGTTATTGGGGGCTATGGTCCCACTTCTTTGCGTAACTTTCACGTTTTTTCTTGTCCCGATTATAGAAAGGGTCCAAAGAGAATGTCATTCAAGAAAACTGTGAAATAGAAGATCTTAACACGCAATTCAGGTTTGGCAATGAATTGCTTTTCTGCGTCTCCATCGTTCTGTTTTTTTTTTTTTTTTTTTTGGGAATAATCTATGGATTACGTTTTGAATCAAAACTGGATGTAATATGGGAAACGCGATGCTTCATTGCTTCGAGCGTGTTTGTCTGATGTTTGGTTAATTTAACACATCAGCTCATACTTCTATTAGCATAAGCAATTGGAACATAAAGCACTGATTCGTCAGCAGGAAACTACTTGATCGAGTAAAACCAATCGGAAATCACAAAATTCTACAATAAATTTCCAACCAATTCTAATAACCAGCCTACGGTCCGAGCAGTAAGGTGGAGACTGGAACTTACCAGTCAAAACGATAGCTCGCACATCATTTCTCCCCATCGCTTCGTCAAATCTCACCTTCAAGTCGGCAATTACTGCATGTCCAGAAACAAAAATTCAAAATCCAAACATAAAAGAAAAGAAAAATAAAACCCAAAAGGCGAAAGGTATCAGACTCACTGGTAACGGCTAGAGCGTTTACAGGAGGATTCGACATAGTGATCACAGCAACGCCATCATTTCCGACCTCCATGGTGACTGTAGGCTTCGCCATGATCGAGTAGCTTTTGCTAAGCAGACTCGTCTTCCTTCTCTCTCTGGTTATCAGCAAAGAAGCGGAAATCAAAACGAAATTGAAGCGAATGAGGCCGTCTTCTGTTTGAGAGCGATTGAACGGAAGATTTATACGGCCAGTCAGCAATCACGATAGACGATTTCGCGGATATGAACGATGAATTTCCCGGAAAATTTTTCTCTCTTTTTGCAAAAATAATTTAATTTTCCCTCCTTTGCAAAAAAAAAACAAAATAATAACAATACTTTACCCTGTAAATATCTCCGAAATTACGTTTCACGTGTTTTGTTTGTGCAAGTTACTTTCCGATCCCGGCTACGCTTGTTGGCTCTTTCCAGATGGCTCGATCCCATTGGCTGGACTGCTGGCCTAGTCAGACCCACGTGGATGAGTATCTCTATCGTATTTTGTGGGCCGTTGATCGTCTGTTACCGACCACGATCCGGTGCGAGTGGAAGCGGGTGAGTTTTGCTCATTTTGGGAACACATTAAATTGCTTAAGCAAGTACAACGAAATTCAGTTGAATTTGCTTTTTATTTCTTTTGTCTGATATACTGTGTAATAAAGTAGATTGAGTGAAACTAAACATATAAATAATATCTATCATTAAGATAATTTTTTCATTTTCATAAAACTATCAATATAATCGACTTTTTAATTTCTTCATTTCGTTAGACCTCCCTTCTTTTTTCCTATATTTATAAATTAGAAATAGTAGTTGTTATATTTACGATTAACAAATATTTTATGTTTTTTTTTTAACATCGTAAGAATGTAACTTATTTGTTGTTGTTTTTTTAATACAACTGGGAGAAAGGGAATTAGAACACACAACCTCTCAATTGAATATATATGTTTATTACCGTTGAACTATACTTACTTTGGCGTTCGAATTGACAAGTTGTTAACATTTATTAGAGTTAAAATATTCATAATTAAACATTGTTACATAAATATATGTTTAAGGGGGCATGGTCAAGACTCAGGGTACTCTTGCCAAAAAGAAAAAAAAAATTGTTTTAAAAGCAGTCAATCACGCTCTCGTTTTTTATGGAATTTACGGTAAAATGCTAAAATATTTTAGGTTAGATAAAAAAAAACGACATTTGCCATTTATTTTAAAAATATCCAATTACTTCACAATATTTAATGTTTTTTTTTTTGTTTTTTACCTTTTCAACCTGCCATCTAATTTGTTTTAGACAATTTTATAAGATTTTCTTTTTTACAATTAAGATTTGAGATATACGTCAATTATCATTGAGTTGTATTCGATTTAACGACAAATAATTCACGGTTTCTCAATGATAGATATATGTCAATTATTACTGAACTATATTCATTTTGACACAAATTTATACTACATTCATTATCACATTATTCAATGGACTACTTTAAAGTTTTGTCACCTTCTTTAAAATATTAGCGCGGTTTAAAATTATATTGTTTAAATGTTTATAAAAGTTAAAGAATAGTATCAAAACAAATGACAGCTGACGACGTTTATTATTATTATTGTAATTCAGTCAATAATTTATAGTGCAAAATTCACCGATGACAAAACTTTTAAAATTTGATGGACTAACATAAAATATTTCAGAATTTCATAAATAATAATATAATAGCGACGAGTGCCGAGGGATGAAAGTTATATGTAAATATTAAAGTTTACATGGACACACAAGCTCACGAAAATTCTCTACCAGATCAAAACGACGACGTTAAAGAGTCCAATAAAACCCTCCTAAATATTGGAAGCATTTTACAGTTCAAGCTTAGTCGAAGGAAGTCTTCAATGGCGTCCTTAAAGGCAGTCTCCCGGTTATCATCTCGATTGCACTCTCTCGCTCCCAAACTCAAGAAAAAGTTTCCGTCTTCCGAGCCATCTCCATTGAAATCAAGTTGTCAATCTAAGCCCTCCGCAGCTTCTACATCGCGTATTTCTTGTACTTCGCGGTGAGACTCGTTTATTCTCTCCATTTCCATTCCCATTCGTTGTTTCAGCAAATTATCATTAGGTCACATAAAGAAATGTGGTTCAATTCTTCACGGTGGAATAGATTTTTTCATTAGGTTACCACTGGAGTTGAGTAGCCAGGGGTCACTGATGCCGTTGCACAGCGCCATAGCTGCGGCAAGATTGATTTCGAGCCTGACCATTGAATCTCGAGGATGGGGTTTGGTTCCTCAGGGTATGTTTTGCATAAGTTTATGCTTCTTGCACTTGGTTTTTGTGAATGCTGATGATTCTTTATTATTGTATTTGCTCGTGGAATGTTGCTAGCTGAGAATGGAATGGAGGATGAATATCCGTTTGTCTGTTCACAGTTAACAGATATTATTTTTCAAAAAACTGTCAAGAGTTTTTATGACTTTTACAATTTGGTCATAGTTCGGATCAGGCTCTGTACATGTGTTTTACGAAATTCCACTACGATTGAATTGGTCAACATATTGATATTTGGATAGATGGCAATGTTGCTGCTTGCCTGTACTACTAGAACTGCCACCTTTGAATTGTGATCAGAATGATATAGGTGAAAATGATAGAAGAAAGACATCAGTCTGACTGATACACGAAGGAAATAAGCTGAATGATCAACCAACTTAGTATTCGAACTGAAGTTATGAACTGGCCATAATCTGGTTTAGCAGAATTTTAGCATTAATCTAGTTTTTCAACAACATTACTTAACTGCGGTAGCTTATTTTTCCGTATTGACTCTTCTAATTTATCACCAAGCTTCAAAGTTTTCTTAACTGATGCAAGAATATTTTTCTGATTTTGAATTTATATGAAGTGTCAAGAAACCTTCAAAATCATTTATCGATTGTAATGTCATTGCATCATTTTTTTTTTCTATCTATTATCATCACAATGGTTGAACTTTCGAGTACCTTTTCTTCACTTTGCAAGAGGCATTTGATGGAACCATTTTTTTGGTTCCAAGAGTTTCTGTAATTATTATTCTTTTTGTATATAGGTTAACAGGAAAGTTTTAATTTTTCAAACTTTTGGCTAATCGAGAGGATTTCTTCATCCCCTTTTTATGTAAACTTTCTCTTGAATAAATACTTTCTTTTATTTATTTTCTTTAAGGAAAAAAAGAAACGTGGTCACATCTCATAGTGACAAACAATAAAGCTACCTGAAGAAAGTAACCTATCTGATAGATTTTGTTCATTGTAAAAGAGTAGTCATGACTAACTTCTGACGTTTAGAAGTTGGTTGCATCGTTCTTCATTGCCCCTCTTGCACCTGAGCTCTCATAATGTATGTTTTGTTTGGTTGGCTAGGATGATAATGGCCACTCATTCATTCTCTGCTAGTTCACAGGGAAAATCAGGGATTGATGTTCAGTTTTTCTAATTTAAGTTATTTAACTTGGGTAACACTTCCAAAAGCCGAGGGTTTTGTACTTCTGATGCTGCTAGGTTTGAATTTCAGAAACAAGGCTAAATCAATGTGGGCTGATGCTATATTGCCAATCTTTGTAAGGCGGTGTAGAGTGATTACTTTTTCCTCAATGAGATGATTACATGATAAGTAGTTATAAATGTGTTCTGACATTAACTTTTGTTAATTTCATTTATAGGAGAAAAGTTATAAATGGAAGTTGATAGTTATGCACGGCAATCTATTTACTAGAGAATAATCTCTGATGCTGTTTTGTCTATACTGCAGGTATTTCGATGCCTTTATGACGGTTTTGCATTGCAGTAAGTTGTTCTCAACAGTTCTCTGGTTACTGAAAAATTGGGGTTTCCTTTTACTTTTAGCTTCAGACAAGAATATAAACCTCAATTATTGCCTTTAATTTCTTTTGTCCTGAAAGCTGGATTAGGTTTTAAGTTAAATTTCAGCTTGTAACGATAAATGTGTTTTATGATAAACATTTTGCTCCGAAACATTCATTAAGTGAATCCAATAGATATTTTCTGGCATCTTTAACTAACATATATAATAGGTTTGTGTCGCTAGAGATTGACCAACCACTATGATGATTGTTGGAGTTGTTATTGTTTGAAAGGGCATGCTGACATACTGAATTTTATAATTAGATGATTTCCCATGCATGCCTCGAATTTTATAATTCTCCCAGACAAGCTCTATTGAAGTTGTAGCAAACTCTTGAAATAGTGGAAACTAACTTGAGCAAAGCTCAGAGTAAGAATTCAACTGCATAAAAACACCAATGAATTGCAGCAGAAATGCAGTGATATATATGGAGCCAATTTAAGGGTTTTTATCAGGAGTTCATAAAGTGTCAAGTACCAAATCCCTACGAGATTATATCATTATGTTCATTTTTCAATATTTTTTTTATCAAGAGTTTATATATTTTTTTTAATAAGAAACTTGTACATAAGACAAAATAAGGGCTAGGGAAGAGGGAACCCCACCCAAAAGACCTATACAAAGGCTTTCCAGTTGTTCAAAAATATGGAGGGGTTGTAGTTACAAAAGAATTTACTATTGGAATATTGGAAAACAAATTAAGGTGAGAACTGAGAATATACCCGATTGCTAGGAAAAAGGGCCACAGATAAGAAACTGATAGAAATGATGATGTTAGATTAGCTTGGTGTTAATACAGCTATAAAAATGTACATTGCAAATGTTTCAAACCCCAAGGTTGAAAAAACTTCTCTTTCCTTTGCAGGAAGGAAGCCCTACAAAAGAATAGGTTACTCAACAGAATCCTACATGGGTCTGAATATTTACATTGGATGAAAGTTCAAAATCTCACGCTATGTTCCTCTATAGCCTTTCCATTTCCTTCTTACGTTCTTCTTTCTGATCCCCCTATCTCTCTCCTGTAGATACACTACCTTTTGATTAATGGCGAGCTGTGGGACTTCTTAAAGCACTTAAACTCTCAAGCTTCTCTAAGTAAGAAAATCTCTTTGCTGTCACAAAGCTAGCAGGTTTGCTCATAAGTTTGTCGTCTTCTTCTTTATTGTAGTTCTCCTTCGTGACCAATGACCTGATATAGAAACTTCCTCTGTTAATATTCCAACCCATGAAATCCAAGAGTGTCTTTGAAGCTGCAGAGTCATTCTCATTAGAACCTGTTTTATCCACAAAATTCTCATCAGAACTCAATTTGTCTGTATCAGAAAGGTTCTCAAAGGACTCTTCCATCTTTGATTCTCGAACCATGGTGTCTGCATAAAGGACATCCTCAATCCTAGACATCATATTAAAAGCCAAGCTTTCTATTACCCTTGAATAACTCTCTAGGATTGCTTGTCCCACATCCTGTGAACAATTAGAACAGATGAAGATTAATGGATTGCTAATGTATCAGACATTTTAGGTATCTGGATGTTGTCTTGTTATAAAAAGCTAAAACTATTGAGAAATCAGTGCAATTATTTCAATATTTTTAAAATTTTGAATGTAGTAATTAGTCAACTCAATTTTATCTTAACCATCTAGAATGAGTGAATGGTTTGATTAGCTGATACTTGATCCTTTCTCAATCTATGAGGCATAAGATAGCGAAGACAAACTTAGCAAAGTCTTGCTCTTACCTTGTTATGTTGGATTTTGGATACATCAAGAGCAGATTGAGAAATCCCTGGGAAATATTGTTTCAGTAAAAACAAGATGCTCTCTACCCTCTCCTCAAAAAGCTCTCTTTTCTCAAAGCTCACTGCCGAACCCCATGAGGACTTTCCATCCTTTTGATGCATCTTCCTCTTCCATATCACAATTGAGGCCTCAATCCTGTTTTTCAGATCAAGCACTTTGTGCTCTGTGGACAAGTCCATTGATTTTAGGAATTGCTCAGTGTTAAAATAATCATCTGTTATGCTCCTGTAGATTGAATCACCCAAGCTTGTTTTTCCATTCTACAAGAGAGAGATTGAAAATCAGCTCAAGTTTCAACATTCATACAACCAATCATCAGAAGTTTTTCCATACCTTAGGGAGAGATTCAATGTAGCTTTCAGGTACTTCCATTTCTGTCAACACTTGAGCATTTATAGCCATGGCTGCTTTTAAAATTTGGTTCACAGAGTCCCTCTGGAACAGCAGCCATTTTCGAGTACCATCTGATAGCCCATTTGGTGGTACCTTAACTGCTGGTAGCCACCATTTATCACCATTCCTCTGTGTATCGCTTTTAGCTGATTCGTCATCTCGTGATACGTACCAGAATTCAGCTTGTTTACTAAATTGATCCAGGTAGCCCTGTAGTCAGGAACTCAAGGTAAGGATAATAAATCTCTCTCTATGTCCTTGGAAAAATGTGGACCTTCTTGATGTTACAACTGAAAACTGGTGAAGATACTACTTACAATTAACATGGTATCCAGTTTTTTAAGTGCTGGAATGTTCATGAGCAAATCTTTCCTTTGTAAGGTC